TGTTGGGGGGGGGGGGGTTGTGGACCTCGGCAGAAAGTACGCACATTTATTCACACAAAAAAATCTTAATTCTGCAATAATTATCCTGACATTCTGAAGTCCATCAACAGGCTATTTGTGTCTCTTAATGCTCAATAGAATATAACGCATTTTTTTTCCTTTTTTAACTAATTGTCGTCGTACAATTTTCACAAGTGAACACTAGAGTAGCAACAGTACAGTAAGATTTAGTCCGTAATTCGCCGTTGTACGCAGCATAAACGACGACACGCAGTGTGTACGTGTGGGGGGAGGGGGACACGAATTAGAAATGAAGTAGGATAAACGTGTGATAAATGTATCTAATTTGTGCAACAATTTTGTGACGATGGGGGGTGGGGTGGGGTGGGGCGGACAGCGGGGGGGGGGAATCTGCCGAATTAGGGTGTCGTAATTTATGGGATGCCCCTTTTGTATGTTCCACGTGCGTGACGTCATGTTTAGTTCATTTTTTTCGGCTGCGCCAGTGGAGCCTAGATTTGTTGTTGGTTTTTTTGGCGCCCTTGTTAAATTTAGTTTTTAACCAGGCGCCCTTCATCAAATTCTAGCAAATAAACTCCTTCGAGACAGCGATGACACTTATATTAAATAAAGGGTTGCCCCTTTCGCATGGCCATGCCAAAATTCAACACGGCACCCCAAGATAACGCAGTTTCTGGGAACCACTGAACTTCCCAAACAGCGGTGAAATCCTACGACTATTTTTTTTATGTGACGTCATAATTTTTTATAAATTAATTTATTTTTTAGGGGTGGTGGTTGTGGGGGGGGGGGGGGGGTGTCCAAAACTTATTGTCAGAATGAATGGGGGGGGTGGGGGTCTTTAAAAAAAAGTACGCGTGCAACGACGGTGAAGGGGGGGGGGGGGGGGTGTCCAAAACTTATTGTCAGAATGAATGAGGGGGATGGGGGTCTTTAAAAAAAAGTACGCGTGCAACGACGGTGAAGGGGGGAGGGGTCGAAAATTTGTTGTTGTTTTTTTCTACTATATGGATGGCTCCTTAAGGTTGAGAAACTTTGATTGTACACAATGCTGTTAAAATGTATGATCCACATGTTGCCTACCATCTTTTTCAGCTAGCTATTATCCCCTAGAAGTATATTGGCTTGTGTTGTTTATGTTTGCAAGGAATGAAAGGCTTAGAATGGGTATTCTCGTATGTAGCTTTTGTAATGTTGCGTTTTGGTAAAATATAGATTATTTCATTTCTTTTTTAATATGGTTGACTTTGTAAAGCGCTTAGAGCTTTGGGGACGAAGCGTGATTTTCAAATAAACTTTATTATTATTATTATTATTATCTAAATATTCAATCATACAATTTATGCCATAGTCAAAGTTATGTAGAAAAAATACAAATTTTAAAAAAATAATTATATTTTTTTAAAAATGTATTATAATTTTTTATTATCATTATTATTATTTGGAGGGGGGGGGTGGTGTTACCACCACTCGAAAAAAATGGGGTGATGGATAGTCGCGCCTGACTGATTGAATGGAACATACTCCTATTTATGCGTCCATTTATCTATTCCATTGGGAAAAGAATGGATATTCTTATTGAAGTTGAATTTTAATGAAAAAATGCTCTTTAAATAGTGTAATTAAATGTCCCTACACAGCTAACGCACATCTTCTTGAAATGGCCAGTTATAATATATGTAGGCTGTAGGTGTCGTCCCGTTATTATTTAAATGCAAACATGTATTTTTAAAGTTCTGATATAAAGATTACATCTCAAGATTGAATTTAAAATAATGGGGGCTAATGTCGTACCGTAGAACCCGAAGAGTCAATCTTGAACTTGTAGAGACAAAAATGTGAGTTTTTGCATAATCTTCCTGGTGTACATTGAGCCAGTGGCTTAGCTAGGGTTGGTGTCACCCGGTGCGGTAAACTCATGGTGTCCCCCCACTTCCCCCCCCCCCGACTTTCGCGATAGACTTCTTTTTGTTAAAATAATTCACAGTATAACAATGACAATGTTTTTGCATACTCTTCCTGGTGTACACTGAGCCAGTGGCTTAGCTAGGGTTGGTGTCCCCCGGTGCGGTAAACTCATGGTGTCCCCCCACTTCCCCCCCCCCCCCGACTTTCGCGATAGACTTCTTTTTGTTAAAATAATTCACAGTATAACAATGACAAGAACAAAAACAATTAATTAAAGGTAAATGTATTTAAGAACTGTAACAACGTTAAGTTATAGTTATTTTTACACATATATACTTTAAAATGTTCCTTTCCTGGACTTCAAAGCTGCAGCCTGTCAATCCCTTGATTAAAATCAATATCCTTGTATCAATTTCAATTGCTAGTAGTAGCAGAGCCAGATCAGAAAGCCTTGACTGACCCATGGTGGATCAAAAATAGTTGTTGATAAGCCTGATTTTAAAAAGCTCCGCTCACATGAAGCCAGAGACACACAGATGGTAAGAAAAAGTTAAAAGCTTATAGTGACAGTTTTGGAAGAGATTCTAGGAAGTCCTATTCCGCTATAAATTTCAAAACATCACATACTGACCAGTCGATGACTTTGTGAAATTCATTATCAGCTGCCATTAGGTGTCCTATAAGCCTTGGTATTTCTTTTAAAAGTTCATCAAAGAAAGAGGTTAATTTTGGAACGGAAACCAATAACTCTTCTTCACTTGGTGATAGCAGACGCTTGGACTGAACAGCCCCAAACATATCTGCAACTTCCTTGATCGCTGATGATCTGATATCCAGAATGAAAGCTATCAATACACTCCAGCATCTCCCAAATGTTTTCCTCCCGCAGAGAGAGACCAGCATCTATAAATTGTTCACCTGCAATTCTCTTCTTAAACCGTAATCTTCTCTCTACCGAAATTCCAAACTGGTCTGAAGTTTAAAGTGTTTTTTCAATTAGTGACGAATCGAGTTACATATTAATTTTTGAGTATTTCTGGGTTTCGATGTTTTTAAAACCTTTTTTTTAAATTTAAATGAGTAAGATTAATCATTAAAAGATTGAAAATTGTGTAGAATAATATTTTTTTAATTTTTACCGATTCGATTCTTGTATTTTGAATCGCCCAACCACATCGTATTTATTGGTATCAAATAGAAAACCTAATTTCTCAGAATTTAGATAAATATAGCTTTCTGTCACTAACGGAAGTTAATGAACACATTCAATCGGCGTTAAATAATGACTGTGCTTTTCTGACCCAATCATAGGGTCTACTCATTTCTGACGCATCAACCTTGAACTTTTAATAAAGCAAGCATTTGGATTGGTTACATCTGTGATCGGTTATCCTTTTACGAAACTGGCTTAGGCCGCTGTGCTCTGTAAATAGGCAAGTTTTCAATTGGATGTCTCCCACCCCACCCCCCCCAAAATGGTGTCACCTGGTGCGGCCCGCACCCCACTAGCTACGCCACTGCTTTGAGTCACGGACAATTTATCATGTAAATAGCTGGACATATTCAGTGTTGACCACGTTCCTTTATTTTCCCTATTCATATTATAATCAGGGTGTTTGAAAGCAATTGGGTTAGGATAAAGAAGCATAGGGAAACAATTAAGGCGGAATAATTTGAATAATATCAGGAAATAAGTGTGTGTTTTTTGTTTGTTTGTTGTTTTGTTTGTTTGTTTGGGTTTTGTTTTTTAATTTATAATGGGAAAAATTCTGAAAACACGGCGTGGGGGTGGGACAAGGTGTGGTCGAATAATCGACAATAGGATTTCATTGTTGTAAGGGAAACCGCTTACAATTATCTGTATCAAAATAATATAATACGAGTTACGGCTCCTCGTGATTGATGCACCAGTGAGAGAAAATCATAGTAGCACGACAATAATGTGCCTGAAAAAAGTAAATAAAAGACAGAAAGAAAAAAAAAGGAATATTTTATGTAATTTGCTAGAAAAATATTAATTGACTGGACTGATCTCTATTATGGGAGATCCTTTTTGATAATTTTGGCTCTTCTTTGTGGCCCTATTATATCGTTGACCCTTTTATATTGTTGGCTCTTCTATGGGATATCCTTTCTTATAATTTTGGCTCTTCTTTGTGACCCTTTTATATCGTTGACCCTTTTATATTGTTGGCTCTTCTATGGGATATCCTTTCTTATAATTTTGGCTCTTCTTTGTGACCCTTTTATATCGTTGACCCTTTTATATTGTTGGCTCTTCTATGGGATATCCTTTCTTATAATTGTGGCTCTTCTTTGTGACCCTTTTATATCATTGACCCTTTTATATTGTTGGCTCTTCTATGGGATATCCTTTCTTATAATTTTGGCTCTTCTTTGTGGCCCTATTATACTGTTGACTTTCCAATAGAGTATTTTTACAATGTATGTTCTTCAACGGGGCCCTTTTATAATGGTAACTCTTCGATGGGTTCTGGTATGTAAAAGTGCTGAGCGCCTCTGGTCTACCACATACAAATATAGAATTATAACAGTCAATATTAGATTACATCTGGTTTAATACCATCCAAAAATCTAATTAGATACTTGAATTTTAGCAAAAATATAGACATATTAACCTATGAAACACCAATGTAATACCCAGGGTTAAAAAAATTGCTGGATTTTAAACATTTATTTTACAATATTAGGACTATATCTCCTTCATGTTTAACATTCCTTGATGAGACACAAACACAAGCCCTTCAAAACTCAGTAACAGTGGCCGCTACCAGAACACAGCAAAGCCTGTTGTATTGTTTTCTAAACGTTAAAAATTTATTTGAAAGTTTACTAATAAATATGAACTAATACGATTAAATTTACAACTTTTCTAATAAATAGCCTATATACCCTGTACAGTTCAATAAAAAATAAACTTGGAAATCCTATTATTGCGGACGGATAAATAATGCTGATAAACATCACATACTTTTTGAATTCATATAATCATAACACATCAATGCTAGGTTAGGATATCACCACATGTAGCACACAAAAGTCAGAAAACAATGTTAGCAATAGATTAATCTGTAAGCCAGTAGGCTTATATCTTGAGTGTGTGCAAGCAAAATATGGTGTAGTGCTATGCTGACTCAGTGTTGTTATGAAATTACAATTAATTTACATACATTTTACAACTTAATCATTTCATGAAGTTTAATTTTTTTTAAAATAGAAACTGAGATCAGTTTGGTTTATAGGTCTAAGAGTTGGTAGTGATTTGTTAGTTTACCAGAAATTTTTTTTTAACTCCTAAGTTTTTAATTTCTTTTTATTTGTTTCTTTTTTTTTTTCTTGTCTACTGAAGAAGACATTTAGCCGAAACGATCTTGCAATAGTCTTGTCTTTCTTTTTTAAGCCTAAACATATCTTGGTCCACTATTTATTTACTCTTCACTGCTTAAACGCAGTCCCTCGTATGTATTATCACCTATTTTCAAGAAGCCTTACTTTAACATTTATTTCTTTTCATTTTAATGTTTTGAAATCAGAAATAAAAAGGTTATTTGTAGACCTATATAAGCCTAGGACAGCATGGTTGCTACAAAATAGTACATACATTCCTAAGAGTGTCATAAAATTTTAACAACTTCTTTCAAGAGTCACCATTTTCCCAATTGTGAGAATCATTGATCTACTCCTTCTAATAAATACAAAATAAAAACACTAACGGCAAGTTTTCCCCATGAAAATGTCACATTTGACTAATATCAGAATCTCTAACAAACTTTATGATATCCAGAGGTTCTCAACCATAGAGTTGATGCTCATAAGGACTGTATCCAATGCCATACATGGGTCTCCGTGGAGGCCTAAACAACAGACCCTCATACTGCTTGTACACCTTCTCACCCTGGTCGGGGAAACGTGCTGCTAGAAGTTGCTCCTCCAGCGGAGTTGGCAGCGGAGTTATCAGTGGTGTCTTGGGTTTAGTGATTAGTACATACTGACTGGAACAGCAGGGGGAAAATAAACGTCATTAGTAGGTTGAACTGGGTAAGGATGAAATGAGATGATTGTCACCAACATATAATTATTTGAAAAAATGCATTGAGAATACTGACACCCTTTTAAAACATGAGATGATTGTCACCAACATATAATTATTTGAAAAATTGCATTGAGAATACTGACACCCTTTTAAAACATGAGATGATTGTCACCAACATATATTTATTTGAAAAATTGTGTTGAGAATACTGAGACCCTTTTAAAACATGCTGATTAATGATCTAGGGCAGGTGAGTAAATGGGAAAAAATAAATAATTTTGCAATAATAATTATTATATTTATTTAAATCTAAGTCATGTCATGTGCAGTCTGAAAAGATTGTTATGAATCAAGAGAATCTTGATAATGCTAAAATGTAAATAAAAATTAAGATCATTAGTTCTAAATAGGTATGTCATGATCAGTGCCCGATTAAAACCCCAGGGGGCCCCTAGGAATTTTAAAATTTGTTTCCCCCCCTCCAACATTATAGCTTAACATCTTAATAATAACTTTGATTTTGAATTTAGTTTTTGATCCAAATATAATGCTCTGCATAAATTGTTAATTAAGTTTCTTTGGACTGTAAAATGAACCCCCCCCCCACTCCACCCCACCAACACACACTCTTTCACTGTCACATTAATAATAATAAAGGAGCTGCCCACAGAGCGGACCTCCACCCCAAACCCCCCTCTTCCTACTCTTAGGTCGATAGGGCTATATAGGGCCAAATTAGACTAACAACCCCCCCCCCCCACTCCATTAGCATGACCCCGACTATGGCTCCTTATGTAGGCTGTTCCCAAACCCCCCCCTTCCTACTCTTAGGTCGATAGGGCTAAATAAGGCCAAATTAGACTAACAACCCCCCCCCCCCACTCCATTAGCATGACCCCGACTATGGCTCCTTATGTAGGCTGTGCGGCTGTACCCTGAGTCCTAATCTGAGGATACATAACTGCAAGGAAAAGGTCAAAGTTTGCAGCGCTGAATGTGGGTTACCATGAGACAAAACGATTCCGTACCTTTAGAAAAACAATTTTAAAAAAGAACGGCATAGAATAAAAACATTGAAAACCCCTTTCACATCTTGACTGAGGAATATTCGAGTCCTTTTTTTTAAACTTTTTTTTTGGTGGCTTAGTCGCTGATCCAATGAGCTGTCATTGTACTTTGTATTCTATTTATCTCAGCTGTCATCAAAATACGACAGTCTCTAAAAACTCTACATTTGATAATTTCCGTCTTTTATTATAGGTTTTTGTAGGAAATAATTAATAATACAACTCACTGGCATTTGCTGGGAATGGACTTGCTGGACTTTGGTCTAAAAGCTTGGGGGTTTCGGGGGTCAAGGAGCCAAGGGTCTAACTCTGGTGATGGGTCAGAGGTCCCTCCAAACTTACTGCTTGCATCTTTTGTTGGTCTCATTGTAAACCTGTTTTTGAATGACCAAAAAAAAATTCTCATTTGAAATTTCCATAAATAAAATATGTTTGTAAAGGATTTTGAAAACTTTAAAGACTTTTGCCATGTGTACAAAAAAATTTTTTATTTCGGCAATGCTTAGAAAATTCTAAATGTTTATTTTCATTTGTTGCAGTAAGAGTTTGCCATAATGGGATAAACTGTAACTGCCAGACGGACCTAAAAGATTTTTTCAGGCCCAGTTCTGATTTTTCCTTTTGAGTGAGTTCAACTTCTTGCTGCCTTGCTCTCTGATCCAACGCCTGATGTATCTGCTGGTGCAGACTCAGGGGAGAACCTTGCTGCTGCTGCTGCTGCTGGAACTGTTGTGGCTGAGGAACCAGTGCCCGGCCAGAGTTATAGTTTCCCGCTGCCGTGTGAGGTCGGGATGACATGGGTGTTGGGACTGGTATGCTGATCGTGGGCCTGGTGCCATGGACGGTGGTGGCCCTTTGGTAGAGGCTGGGAGCAATGGTGGTCCTAGTCTTATCTGTCATGTGATCTAGTTAAAATGGTAGAAGGACAAACATGAACTATAAATCCGACTCCCTCAGTTTTCGCCAGGAAAAGCCTGAAAAGTTTGTAACCCCGCTCAGAACACAAACCAATAAAACAATATGCCAGTAGAAGCAATAAATTAAATAAAATTATTTATTTATTTTTTTAATCCAAACTTTTAAAAATAATTATTGCGTAGGGAAAGAGACTTAAATACTAATAAACATACACTATAATGTGTAACACAGATACTTGCTTCATGTGTCTACCAGTATATATGGTAACCATGCATGCTGATAATTTTAAAAAAATAGAACCTCTGTGATCTACAAGAACTATTTTTATTATTCAATATAGGTACTTTGATGCGGTCTATGCATAGCAGTAGCAAAATGTGGAGGTAATGTGTGACCCTATTTTGCACGGTGCCAATTCAGTACATTGTTTTGTATGAAATCAAAGTACTTAGAGAAGCTTATAAAAATCTCATATAACCCACTCATGACCTGACCATCCTGCTTATTCCCCTGAAATATTTCCAAAGCAAGTCATCTTATGAAGGAGTGCATAGGACAATGATGATATCTGCAGTAAATAAGCTAAAAAGATTTACCATTTAGTACATGCTCTTTTAGTCTCTCTTGTTTCATGTGCTCCAGGAGTTGTCTTTTCTTATGGACATTCAATGTTCTGAGTTTCTTTTGCATTCTGATCAACATATGCCTGAAATTGAACAGTTGTGGCTACAATGGCATTTGTTTAAAAAAAAACAATTATTGTAAACTTAAATATTTATTGAACTCTCTTATTTTTATTTTTTATATTTTTATTTTTTTTTACACATATTTTTAAAAAATTAGTCTGATTTTTGTGTATATTCAAACCTCTCAATTTGTCTCTCATGCCAGTTTTCTGCAAATGCCTGGTCATCATTCTTATAAAGCTTGTCACTGATTAGGCCAGACCTAGTCAAAGAGTGATAAAATTAATTACTTTGAACAGCATAGAACAACAAAGAAGACATTTAACTAAAAGTAATTATTAATAAATAATCTTTTTTTCATTTAGTCTACTTTAAAAATGTTTTCATTACCTGGCCATGCTCTGGTAACTCAATATAGAGTTTTCAAAAGCAGCTTGTAAATCCTGAATACAAAAAAATGACATCTAAATTCATAAATGTATGAATTTGGAATGACTTGCAATAAACACACAAAAATTCAAGACATTATCTAAACAAAAAACTTTACATTGAACATTGCATACAATTCTTTTTAAAAAAATTGAAATTAAATATTGGTACTGGAAAGAACAAAGTCTCATAGTCTAATTACTCAGCCTAGGCAACTAAATGACAAACAAATAATGAATGTGGTTAACAAAGAAAATGACCATTGTTCAACTCCAGCATGATTCACCAAGGCAGAAATTTATTGCCATGAATAAAAGATAAAAAAATAATAAAAATAACTGAAATGATATTGATTACCTCAGGATGAAATCTTACTTTTGCTGTTGGTGGGCTTTCTGATTTAGTAGCCAATCCTGGGGACAAATATAAAATAAGCAAAAGCATTTCTTGTATTAAGCCAAAACAATATTCAGAAGTCTGTAACTTTAAAAAAAGTATACTTCAGTCACATCATTATTTCATGTAACATTCATGTAGTGACTTATCAATTTGCCATGTAACATACACACAGACTTACCATTCTGCCATGTACCATTCACATACCAATTATGTTATGTAAAATTCACAGAGACCTTTCATTCTGCTATGTAACATTCACAGAGACCTTTGATGCTGCTATGTAACATTCACATAGAGACCTAACATTATGCCAAGTAACATAGAGACCCACCAGTCTGAACTGCTGATCTTCCTAAAAGGTTTTCTTCTACTAAAGCTTTAGACTGAGTTCCAGCTTGAGAGGCTTCAGACAAACTCAACAAGTCTGCTGACTGGTAGTTCTAAAAAATCAAAAACAAAATATCCACATCATGGGCAAGATAAAATTAATTGATAGTTGAAGAGAAATGATGTTACAAGAGATTCTAATAGCTAGGAGCACATCAGTTACAGCTGATGAAAACAAATAAAATTTATAATCAGTTAGTCACTAAAATGGAAAGCTTTGGCTTAAAATGGCAGTGATGAAAACATGTATTTAAATTTGATGGCAAATTAATTGGGTAACATGATAATTTTCCTTAAAATCTTTCAGCTGAATTAGGCCAACTACTTTTGTAAAGTTTGTATTTTTTATTAATAGCTTACAACGTTAGCCCCCACGTTCTGTTTATCAGCCTGTCTAGGGTCATCTGGTTGGGACGGTTGTCTGGTAATTGACATAGAGAACTGGTCTGGCCACACCGTGTCAGACAAACTGCCATGCCCTAGATAAATAGACATTGCTGTTTAAGATTAAATTTAATCAATGAAATATCCATAGTTTTGAATCTGATAGTTTATGTGACATGATACATCTTGAGAGTCATGCTTAATTTTTACTTTTTTTTTTTTTTTTTTTTTTTTTTTTTTTTTAAAAAAAAAAGGAAATAAAAATAAAGATAACTCTTGCTTTCAAATTATTGAATAATTCCTCTGCATCTGAAGGCTTCCTAAACTGTAAATGCTTAAATGTCTTTAGTTGATAACAATAAAATTTAGATTTATCTTTAAGAAGATGAATTAATCCTTGAATGAACAAACAAAACATTTGTGTGTCAGCTAAATATTAGTTGAGCTGAGTCCTTTTTTTTACACTTTTAAATATGATGCCAATTACAAATAGCACACAAACAAAAATGTGACTCATTCCAATACAATTTTTTTTATGAAAATGATTTTTTTTTTCAATTTGAATATTCACAAACTATAATGATATTATAATTATATTGAATAAGAATTTAATGCTCGGCTTTAAAAAATGAAATTAATAAGCACACTTTTCGCTCAAACAGTGCATAATAAGTAAGATTTATAACATATCAAATAAATTTGTTATTTTTAAGTGTATTTAATAGTTGCTGAAGATTCTGTGCAAGATTTAGAAGTAAAAAGTGCCATAAAGTAATCAGTATCTAAAACACACTAAGAATTACTTTTACATGTTGCAGCAAGACAATGGTGCACATAGTTAATTTCATGAAAATGCTGGTTAATATTTTCCTTTTCTTTAAAATAGCAAAAGAACACATTAGTTGGATTTTTTTAATGATGATCATTTTTTAATTCTGTTGTCCCTTTAATAAGAATGTGTGTCCTTATGGACTTATCCTTAACAATACCTCCAGGAGTAAAATATTTGAACTGGATATAATTAACAGATGATAATATATAAGTGTTTTAGATTAAAAAGAGTTAGTTATCTAAATTGATACATATAGTGTACAAATATGATATTACTTGGTAATGACCGTAGAGCTATGTGAGTACTGTAGATTGTATACATATTTATTTAAAGAACACGGATGAAAGCAAAAGATTCATGACTTCAAATTTTACTCATTTGGAGGAAAATTTGATACTTTATTACATTAAAAGTTTAATGTTGTCCATACAGAATCAGAAATTTATATTTTTCTCTGGGGAAAGTTATTGCATTTATTCTTTTATTTATTACTATGGAAATTTTATCTCTGGCTTAGCAGGTATAAAACACCAGTCATACCCCTAAAGTTTTCACCTATGTACAAAATATTGTGCTGGCAGAATATTACTTTTTTAAAGCATATTTTCCGAGACGTAAAAAAAGAGCATGGATTAAGTAAGCAACACAGCATTTAAATTTAGAATTAGTTAGTTGCTCAGCAGTGAATATGGTGTTACTTTCTGATTGGTCAACTATGGAGGCTGCATCATGAGAAGATTCACGTATTATTTGTACTTCCTCATCCTCAAAATAAGTCTCTGGTGTCATGGGATTTAAGTGGTTATAAGAGAACTCAGACAACAAGGGAGTATTAGATTGTATGTACGGTGTGCCTTGACTCTCAAAACTGTTTTGAGTAGTTTTCCTTGGAACTGCCCAAGTGTGTGAAGTAGGAGCTGTTCTCGAAATAAAAACATCTACAGAAAAGTAAATGAAAATATTATATTATACTTGCTTCACAATGATCATATAATGTAAAGAAAACTTATTCTATTTTAAAAATAAATGTTTATTGTTTTCTAGTATACCACAGTATGCCAGGACACCACAGTATACCAGGACACCACAGTATACCAGGACACCACACCAGGACACCACAGTGTACCAGACAGTATACCATGACACCACAGTATACCAGGACATGAAAGAGCAGAGAAGTTAGCAAACAGGGAGCATCCAATGAACAACCGCCCATTACTTGACACTAGGAAGCAGCTCATCACAGCTAACAGAAAAGAAGGGAAGTTTAATGGATGGGCTCAACAGGAAGATGTGCTATTACACACATGCTCGGTACCAACCCTAAAGATTAAACAAAATTTCCTCCATCAGGTCATAATCCTTCACCTTCGCACATAACATATACAACTAAATTCCCACCTAAGCCACATAAAATCAGATAAGACACCAACCCCCCCCCCTCTTCAGACATCCAAATGAGACCGTGATGAATCACCTCTTCCACTGCCAGGCATTTCTGGACTTATGCCTGAACTACCTATGGTGGGTGTGTAAATTCTTCACCATGGCCGCAGGCCAGAGGGCACGTGCCCCAACAGCCACTGGATCTGAATGCTGATGATAAAATGTTTATGGCGATCCACATCTCTTACTGATTCAACGTGAATACCATAATATTATTATTTCATTGCTCATGTTTTATGAGAAAAAAATATGCTTTTAAGGATCCAAGATTTATGCTCAATAATCATTTAACTAGCAATAAATTTTACCTTGGACTGAAGATTTCCTGTCATCAAGAGAACTGGATGCCAATCTCTAAAAAGATTTTAAAGAAAACTTATTGATAAACCATAGAAATTCACACACAGAAAAGCAATTGGCGCCCTTCTATTTTGAAAATGACACACACAATTAGCATGGAACCCACATAGTCATCTGGGGTCATCCAGAGCCACTTATAACTAAATGAAATAAGATAATCATTAGCTTTTGTCAGGTAACGTTTCATAACTTAATCACTAACAAAATGTGGAAGATGATTAAAAATTCTTTAAGAAGATATTCCCATGATTAAATTTTATAAAGAGATATCATTTTTCTTTATATTAATAAATGACTCTTAAGAATTTATTGGGAACCCAAATGATCCTACCTCTTTAGAAAATGAGCCACTTCTGTTTCCTTCATTAGGTTTTGTCCCCTCAAATTGAACTGAAGGTGTAACATGAACTTTAGGACTTTTCAACTCTCCTATCGAATCTGTGCTACGTTGCTGTTCATTACTGGAGACCCTAAGCTGATGTCCTGCAGCACTGCCCTGACCGCCCTCCTGATACCTAGAAGTTAAAGAATCCACCGGAAGCTCCAGTCTGCTGGCACCGGTTTTCTCATGGCTTTTGGCCACATCTTCTGGGCTCCCCTTCTGTCCCCCTTTTGTATGCTCTCCCTTGCTGACCCCAACAAAGTCTATGGCCGACCGTCTGTCCAGTTTACTCATTAACAACGCCTTGGACTCTGCGGCTGTTAGCTTTGGAGAGTCCTTGACATTTGGTTCAGAGGGAATGCTGGGTAAATCGGGCACTGTCATTTTTACTGTATAATCTGACATCATACTGGGCATCCCACTGAATGCTCCATCTTCAATGGCTTCTTCAAACTCCTTATCTTCTGTGACTAAATCATCTTCTTCTGTGTCATTAATCTGGGGCTCCTCAACATTTGCTAACGAGGTCTCCCCAGAAACTGTCAGCTGTAGTTCTTTTAGCTGAATCGGAAAACAGATGGAGGAAACATTTTTACATGCATAACATTTATTTAGCAATAGTGCATGGGCTGTCTTTTGTAAAAGCCTTTTTCTTGTTAAAATTTTTCGTTAATAATTTGTGTTTAATTTCAGTTGATTGTACATCTATGCGGGCCGCGTGTTTCAAAACTTTGAAGTACATTTAGTTTTATTAATTAAGTTGGATACTAGAGCCAATGCAAAAAGTTAGGAACAAGATTTTCTCATAGGAATTTTGACTCTGACTTGCAACTCTTTGATTACAATGATTCAAGTGTTAGGTGTTTATGAGTCCTGCTCTTACAAATTTTTGCAACCATGACATTTAACATTGGATATTACAGGATTTATAAATAAATAATATTTCATATGGAACAACCTCCAGAGCCTGCATCTGTGTGGGCGGAGGCTCATTCTGGTCCTCCTTCTGCTGCTTCTGCTTAGAGTGCCTTCTGCTGCTTGGCTCAGCTGTTTTCTTTACCTTCATCGCTCGCTCTTTTCTTGTCTTTTTCTGCATCAGAAAACATTGATAGTTATTCTTTAAAGACAATAAATGAAGTTCAAGCCGTGTGAAGGAAATAGTAGAACAAAGTGTGTGGAAGCTTGAATCAAAAGATGGGAAAGAAAGAGAAGAACATTTCTAAGCAGATAGGACAAATCAAAATGTGACAAGAAATAGAAACTGTTTAAAAATCTTAAGTGTTACCATTGTTAGTGCTAGAAGTTGGATCTTCCAAAAGCAAGATTACATTGATCTACTATTTCCTTTAAAGACGGTCACCTTAAAGGCTTTAGTCCTTAATAAGCAGTGGCATACCTGATGGGTGCAGGGGGTGCAGACTGCACCGGGTGTCATTATCTCAGGGGGTGACACCAAATTGAAAATTAGAATATTTACAGAGCACACACTGCTCGGTCCAAACGATTTTAAGGTTTAAGAAGAGAATGAAAGGAGAACAATTAATAGATGCTGTAGTCTGTCTGCAAGAAGAAAACAGTAGGGAGATGTTGAAGTGCATTGTTTGCTTTCATTCTGAACTCCAGATCAAATCATTAGTGATCGAGGAATTAGCAGATATGTTTGGGGCTGTTATATTCAAGAGTCTACTATCAGCAAGTGAAGAAGAGCTATTGGTGTCCGTTCCAAAAGAAACCTCTTTCTATGATGAGTTATCAGAGGATGAACTTTTAAAAGAAATACCAAGACTTAGAAGACACTAAAGGCAGCTGATATTGCATTTCACAAATTCAAGGACTGGTCAGTATTTGGCGTTTTGAAATTTATAGCTGAATAGGACTTCCTAGAATCTCTTCCAATACTATCACAAAGTCTTGAATTGTTTAATACGATCTTTGTGTCTGCAGCTTCATGTTAGCAGAGCTTTTCAATACTAATGCTTATCAAGAACTACTTACGATCCAATATGGGACAGTCAAGGCTTTCTGATCTGCCTATACTATCAATTGCAAGTGATACGGTGAAGGGTATTGAATTTGATAAAGTGATAGGTTTGCAGCTTTGAAAATCAGGAAAGGAACATTTTTAATAAAGTAAATTTAATGTAAAAATAACTACAACTTAACATTGCTACTTCTTCATCTATATTTTGAGGGTCTACAATAAAATGTATTGATCAGTCTGGCTCCTATAAATTCTTAAATACAGTTCTTAAATACATTTAACTCATGACCTTTAATTAATTTGTTTTTGTTCTTGTCATTGTTATACTGTGGACTTATTTTAAAAATAACAAATCCATCTCGGAAGTTGGAAGTCGTGGGAGGGGTGGGGTGACACCATGAGTTTACCACACCGGGTGACAACAACCCTAGCTAAGCCACTGTTAATAACTATACACTTCAAGCATTTAGAACTAACCTCAACCTGCAGAATTAAGGTCATAACAGATGTACTTAAACTTTATTTGAAAAACCTTCAAAAGAGTATTTAAATCACCTCAACAGTTGTAGAATCTGGGTCGACTTTTTTTGGCTGGCTAAGCTCAATGACCCGCCCACGCTGACCGGAGGCCAGTGGTGTTTTCGGGTTAGATTTGACAACATCTTTCATTAAAAGCTTGGCATCCACAGTGACGTCACTAAAACCAAACTTCTTTCTGGGTGCAGCAGGTACAAATTTTGCCTTTTCTTCCGGCTTTGGTTCTGAATATAAAAGAACATTCTCAAGTGGAGCAATGCAAGTTGAAGCTCAGTAAACTTAAGGTTAATCAAAGACTTAGAGATTTGTATCAAGAAACCCTTCAAATAGCGTTTAACTTGGCAAGTATAAGATTACAAATATAAAAATTGAAACCATTATTTCATTGACAGATGATTCCACACATTTTTTTTTACCCTTATCGGATTTCAGAAAACGTGAGATCTCATCATCTTCTACTTTCTCAAAGTGATGATCGGTCATCTGAGAGGTGAGTTCCATTTTAGATTTCAGTGTATCTTCTTCCTAAAAAAGAAAGAAATAACAGTGCTGTTGAATCAAAATAATTAAATGTTTATTTGATGAAATGATAACTGACTTTCTGTAACCTGCCAGAATATCTCTGTCATCAAGAATGAGGTTGGACATTTTTAACAATAAATAAAGAACTTTGTCTGGTGGAAATTTAATTTGAACATTTACCCCAAAAAATATAATATTCTTCAGTGAAAGAACTGTGACACACAAGGATTTGAGAAAACTGTTGCTGAATCTTCCTGGTGATGATGTGATTTAAAAACCAGTTAGCATTACCATACATGCCAGTGATGAAGCTGGCAATATGTCAGTGATGAAGCTGGCAATATGTCAGTGGTGAAGCTGGCAATATGTCTAAAGAAATGTGTTTCAAACGTGAAATGATTGGCAATTCTGTGGTTCTTCAATGTTTAGATTCTACTACTTCTACTGTCCACTTTTGCTGGGGAGATGAAGTGGGGAGTAACAGTTGTCAATCTGCCGGAAGGTATGAGGCCTGCTGGAGATTCATTTTTTGGACTTAAATGGTGTTCTTAACATGGTCAGTATCTGGCATGGTCTTCCTGTGTCCCTGGAACCCGAGTGCCTGCTATTGTAAGCTTACAATGCAAGCTTATTGACAGGCATTCTGACCAGTTGGCCTAACCAATTGATTTATTGTTGGGCCATATACTGGCTCACCGGCACCAGCCATTAGTCTTATTTCCTTATTCCAAATTTTATCCTTTCTCTTTTTACCAGGTGCTCGCCTTAAACATCTCATCTTGGAGGTAAAGAGTTTTTTCTCCAGAGTTTGTTTTCAGAGCCCAGGTCTGACAATGGTAAATAGCAGTTGGAATAAAGACAGCACTAGTCTGGCATTGTTCTCCATCTTTATTTGTGGTTGTCTTAGCAGTGGAGCTATTTTGTAGCTGCCTGAATTTGTTAGCTGCCTGCATTTGTTAGCTGCCTGCATTTGTTAGCTGCCTGCATTTGTTAGCTGCCTGAATTTGTTAGCTGCCTGCATTTGTTAGCTGCCTGAATTTGTTAGCTGCCTGCATTTGGTAGCTGCCTGCATTTGTTAGCTGCCTGCATTTGACCTCTACGCTCTTGTTTCTATTTTTCCGTCTTCAGTGAAATGCTTCCTAGATATTCAGATTCTTAGCATTGTCGGAACAGCTGACCTCTAATTTTTATGTCCAGTTTTTCCAGTGTTCAACATACTGACATGAAATGGGTCTCATCTGTGGTGATATTTATCCCAATAAAACTTCCAGGTGCTGTCCAAACTATCAACATGGCTCTGCAGCTGCTCCTTGTCGGCGTTCAGGATGCACTGGTCATCAGCATACAGCTATTGATGGAGTGAATCAAGTTGGCATCCTTTGTTATTTTGTCAATGTAAATAGTGAACAGCAAATGTGATAGAAAGCAGTCTGACTCCTGATTTTACCTCCGACAGGAGCACGCAGATATTGTTGAGGAGTTTTCATATCACTCCATACAATTCAAGCACCTCCCATAGACTTTTCCTGCCCACCCTGTTGAAAGGTTTTTCCTGGTAAAAAAAAACTAAATGAAGCTGTTGTTGATATTCACACATGTTTTCACACATTTGCCGCTAGATGAATATTTCATAAGTGCAACCTCTACCCCTTCTGAATCCAGACCACCCACTGCTAAGAAGTGGGTCAGCTAAAGCTTTCTTTCATAAATAAAATATGTTTGGATTATAGAGAGAAAAAGGTTTTATAACCACATTGAAAAAAATTAAACTACAGCATGTATGTCTAATGATTAAAGAAACTGACCAGCAAGTCCTCAGGCTCTGACATCAGATCAGGTGTAGGGGGGCTGGAGGACTCCGGAGTTGGGCCTGGAGATTTTCCAAATCTAGGAAAAGAGAACTTGAGTTGCTCTGCTTGCTTCTTTTTGGTTGCCTGCTCTTTAGGAGGGGCATCTTTTTTGTTTCCTGCATTGATTAGCTTGAGTTTAACTCTTAGTTTTCTCCTCAGAGCTGTGGATGGGTTACATTAGAAAATTACTCACGTGAAGGTGAGCTGAAACATGGTTGTGAGATTGTGTTAAAAATTGAGTTAATTGTGAGCTTGGAGTGCTGCAAAACAGTTCACATGAAATTAATGTTTTTCAGCCATGTTAAGGATCTAGAGTTTAATTATTTATGAAAAATAGATTTTTATTTTTATTTTACTAATGCCAAGGAGGCCAAGAGCTCACAGGTGCCCGCTCATATCTGGGGAAATGTTTCAAAATTAATTTTTTTTTAAAAATTAATTTTCATCCTGATTTTTTAAATCAACTTTTAATTCTAATTTCCATGAGGAAAAAATTCAAAATCAATTAATTCTCACTATATTCTCTGGAGTAGAACGTAATGTTATACAGTAAAAATAAAGAGCTTTTGTCACTGACGTTAAACATAGAAAAACTAGACTCTTAAAGTGAATAAGTAGCGTATCTGTATATGAAATAATATTAACAAAGGTATTGAAAATTCCATATTTTCATATAATAACTTTTGTTAGTGTAAAATTGCTTAGGTTTTTAGTAAAAATATATAGTAATGAATAGTATAAACATTCCAAAAACTGTCACATCAAAAGAAGGGCAGATATTTTTTAATCATATCCAGCATTACATAATGGTTTTTAAAATAGTGTTGTTTTTTTTAACTTTGTTGCAGTATCAAGATATAGCAACTCACAAAAATGCATAAAATATATGGATTATAGAAGATTTTTTAAAATAATTATTGGACATAAAAAAGCTATTTTGTGATTTGTGGGCTTATTATTTATCATAACTATTTTTAATATACTTCCATGACGAGTTATAGCCCTAATGTACATTATATATCCATGAAAATATTGCCTTTTATTTCATGATTAGAAATGCTTGTCTTTAAAAATAAATCAAAAGCAGGTTATAATTTTTATTTGAAATATATATATATAGGTCAATCAAATGAGTCTGGTAGACAGAAAATACATCAGAATAAAGTGATAAGGATGATTATGAAGAAATAAAATCTGATATTCTTGGTAGAAAATATATTTCTTAATTTAATAGTAATTTTTACACTATTTACCTCCAATCACAGGCCAACAATAATCTTGTTAAACATTTTTTTTTAAAAAGTCATTATAAAATAATTCTCATAAAAAAAAAGAAAAACTGTTAATGATAAATTCAACTATTTTTTTAATAAATCCAAAGCTTTGAGGTGAGATAAAGTTGCAATAGTCAATTATGGTCAAGAAAATACTTTTCACATAAGGATAATTAAGAATAGTAACAGTACTAACAAGTTTTAAGCCACACTCTAAAAGAAATAAAGAAATGAAACATAAAATTTAAGTATGCCTAGATTTGTAAAATAAAATATTAATATTTTCTTTAAAAATGCTTGGATAAAGACATTTTAAAATTAATAACAAATTTACAGGGAAGTGAAAAATAAAGAAGGATGAAAATGCATACTTTTGTAAAAGATCAAATAAACTGAAATAAATTTGTTGAAGATTGAAAACTAAAATAAGTTTGTTAAGCCATAAGTTAAATCAACTAGATGTTGTTTGTTGTTTGTTTGAATCATCAAATATGTACAAATGGACTGGAAGCATAGGGATGAATTTTTTTTTTGGTTGGAGAAAGCAAAATAAAAGAGGAAACATAAATGATGATTCACAAGTCACGCAAATAAAATTCTTTACTTATGAAACTTGATTTAAGTCAAATATTTTTTTTTTTAAATGAATAAAAATGTTAAGCAACCTCAAAAAAGCTGAAGCGGCAAGTAACAAAAAAATTGATATTTGTACCAGAAGATCTGCTCTCTGATTCTCTCTTGAGTTCAAAATGCATCTGTCTCATATCCCTTTTATCTGTTCAAATTTATTAAACCAATGAAAATGAAAAAAAGTTTCTGAAAGGAAGTTGTGTTCCTGGAACTTGAAGAAACAATTAAAATTGAAACATGTTTGCCTGATTGAATGTTTTACCTTACTGGAGCAGTATAAAGGTTAAAATCACATTATCAGTCATAATAATTGTTTTAAAAGACTCCTATTTAGCCTAAATTTTTCATACTTAAGGAAAAGATTTATTTAAAATAATTAAAATAAATAATTCTCTATGTAACAATGTCACTAATGCTATCAGATGGTGCTGATTAATTTCACTAAATAAAATGTCCGATAACTGTGCTAAATAAATTCTTAAAAATACATTAAGTGCATTTGATGCATAATATTTTATTTTGTTTTACGGCAACAAATTAATGTGTAAAAGGGGGTGAGATATTAGAATAATAATATATTTCAGGGGTGGTGGCATACCCCAGGATGGGGGGGGGGGGGGAGCCCTAATTGGGAAGCTTATAAAGTGAATTACTTAAATGCATGTTTTGTAAATTAATTTTTTTCGATGAAAAGTTAATGCTTTCCGGCGGCAAATTTTGGGTGGTGAGATATTAGAATAATAATATATTTCAGGGGTGGTGGCATACCCCAGGATGGGGGGGGGGGGGAGCACTAATTGGGAAGCTTATAAAGTGCATTACTTAAATGCATGTTTTGTCAAGTAATTTTATTCGATGGAAAGTTAATGCTTTCCGGCGGCCAATGTTTGGTGGGCTATAGCTAGTTTAAAATAATTTATCTACTAGAGTAGGCTACTTAAAAAAAAATAAGCAAACATCTTCAGCAGTAATCATCTCATGCTAATGTCATAACTGAGACAAACTTGCTCTAAGGCTGTAAAAATTAGTAAGATTTTTTTTTTTTTGCTCCAAATAAATGGCAAATCTTTTACATTGCTTTATATATATTCATTTTCAGCACATCAATAAATACATGTTTAAACCAAGACAACATTTTACAATTATAACAACTTAAACACAAGACACCTAAAGTATTTCTCTAGCATAGACAATCAGCCATCAATTAACTCCTTTAGTGAAAATGAGTTTATTAGTGTTAACCCTGATTATAGTTGAACATTGTTTTATTTTTTTTAAACTATCAGGGTATTTAATCTTAATCTAACCAATAATATTTAATATATGCATAAAAAGCATTAAAACACTAAATAGTATTGCCATCACAAAGAACATAAATTTTGAGTAATATAATTTGTGTAGTATACAAGGGTGCCAAATGAAGTTTATTTACCATTAAAATGGACTAAACAAAAACATTATTGTATATAAAATTTAAATTATCATAAAAAAAAAAAAAATCAAATAAAAAAAAAAGGATCAAACCTTTTTCTTCCATATGCTCTATAGTCTTATGCATGAAGTCTGCAAGGTCACCATTGGTGACTGAAGAGTCTACTGTTAAATCAACCAATGAGAGACGTCGTCTTGGCGTGGCATCAGGTGATACGTAGATTTCTGTTGGTGCCATTGATGCCCTAGACGCCCTTTCTATTTCCTGCATTGAAACAGCACATGTACATCTATAAAGCAAAGCCTACATTCAAAATCCTGACAGCATACTAATGACAAAACAAAAACAGTTGGATGTGTAATGTTTACTATATCCTAGCAAATTATCAACAAAGCAACATCATCTCAGCCACATGAATATCCCAACTCATAACCAAGCCATTATTCAATATACAAAACCAAAACAGCTTACACATCAGTTCATAACATCTACCAAGGGAAGTCACTACCATAATTAGACAGAAAAAAACTAGTTGCAGCAATCATTCACACTTTAAATTTAAACATGAAACCACTAAGCAAATATTATCTATATTATCTAGAGGTAATGTAAATATTAAATATAAAAATTTAATTATTAGAATGGCAACAACAATAAACAAACTGTATAGTACAAAGACAAAATGCCATGTAGTGATCTCACAAGCAGACTTTGCAAACATTAGCTTAACATGAACAAGATTCTACATTTCTTAAATAAAAAAATGCATCCCACTTTTCAGATGAACTCAATGGATTTATTTATCATTTGAAAAATATCAAACGCTATTTAATATAAGTTGCAGTAGCCAGTGAAATAAGAGTTGGGAATAATCTCAAATGAACATACCACAGGTTTAAGTGATTGAGGTTCCAGTTCGACTTTTCCTTCAAAGAAGTCTTTAGAAAATTCAATATCAAAAGGTACCTGAAAACAGCTATATATATTTATTGTCATCAAATTTAAGCTTTAAGAAATGCACATTTAAAAAAAGTAACAAATCACATTTCAACTAAGAAATATGTTACAGAATAAAACAACATTTTGTCAAAAAATTGTGCACAAAACGTACTAAATAGTTTTCCAATGTAATGGGATCAGGATACGGTATAATTCCTTCATACATCACAGCTGGGTCCTCATAGATCACAGACTCTGAAATAAGATATTTTAAAGCCAATTCAATTATAAGATAAAATTATAACAAATCTTATTATTTCACAAAATATTATAATCAGCATTTTAACCTTAATAAGGTTGGCATAAAGAAAACCTTACATGACCATGTAAATTTATTACATTAAAAAAGTGTGACCAATGTGTTAATTATATTTTGCTTTTATCATTCAACATTGAATACTCAATCTGTCTGTCACTACCTATATTCTAACTGAATCAGTGTATCACAAAAGAATGAACATTTTCAGTTTATATTTGTTACTTGATGACAGTTTTTTTTTTTATATTAGCTGTTTCTCTTAGAAATTAATTTGTTGAAGTTTGCATTTGCTAACTGTAAACACAGAGCCTATTTTAAAAAAAATCACATGATATTCCACTAGCCTTTATCAAAAGTATCCATGTCAGATTCAGGCACCACCATCTGTGAATAAACTTTGAGAAAATGGAAAAAAAAATTCACATGATTTTTTTTAAATCTCAAAATTTTGAAGAATATCAGTAAAGAAATTTACTTTCCAAACATGCTGAAGATTAGAAAAATGTAGCATCTAGTATCAAGTAAACAGATTATTTTTTTTCAGCATATTTTTTTTAGAAAACTGTCAATACTTAGTTATCATCATTTCTCTTCTAGGAATCTACAATAAATGAGAATCTGCAAAGAATTTATGTTCACCTTAAATGTGATCCCATCAAAATCAACATTCCATGTGAGCATTGTACATTAAAATGCATTGATTTCTGACATTTTTATTTTAAATTCTAAGAAAAAAATGATTTGTATTTTAATGAACATTGCTGAAATGTGACTTTTTCTTACTCTTGGAGTGGTCAATAAAGAAGAGATGTTTCTGGAAGCCTATCACTAAGTCCCCCATATTATTGAGGAAACAAGCTGTAGTTAAGCTTGAGTCTAACATGATTTCTGTCAATAAGGAACCATCTTCAGTCCAGATTTTTATTGCACCATCATTGCTGCAACAAAGTAATCAACATATATTTTTTTTTTAAATATAGAATTCACTTATTGCAATATTATTAACCAAATTTTATACACCAGTTTTACAAAAGCAGTAAAATAAAAACTAACTCAGACTTGAAGGATAATACATGAGGGACTGTTTTCAAACAAGTTGAAGGAAATAGCGGAACAAGGTATGTGGAAGCTTGAAATATAAAGACAGGACAATGATAGAGGAATGCTTTGGCTAAGAGCCTTCCTCACCAGACAGGACATATGAAGAAACAACAAGAAATAGAAAGTAGTTTCACTATTTCCTTCTCAGACTTGATCCTCATTGTCAAACTGAATTGTACATCAGGAATTGGGTTTAAGCGCATGCTAGAGCAGTGATGGAGCTCATAAACAAATGTTTCAAACTGACTCAATTAAACAAAATTAGACATAGTAAACATACCTGCAAGAGCAAAACAATTTCAGTGATATACAAACATCAACAGTGGTTATTGGGGCCAAGTGCTCTGGTTTGTGGTGGGTCTCTACAACATCTTCAACATTTGGCAGCACTGGGGCGAAGAGTTAAAACATTTTAATTGTGGATTTTGAGGTTATTGTGAGAATTGTACTTTCGCTGGACAGAAGATTTAGGGTTAAATAATTAATCAATTGTTAAATAAAAGCACTGAGACTCAAAAACTGATTTAATTAATCAAATTTATAACAAAAATATTATTTAGATTCATGTAATGTCATTATAACAAATAAAAGATAATAAAGGGAGGAATGTGTTTAAGATGTGTGAAGGCAATGGTGGGACAAGGTATGTGGAAGCTTGAAATATAAAGACAGGACAGTAAAAGAAGAGCAATTCATCTAAGAGTCTTCCCAGCAGACAGGACTAATGAAGAAACAAAAAGAAATAGAAAGTAGTTAAAAAGGAGTTTGAGGTTGCCATTAATGTTATTGCCAGAACTTTATTTTTCCAAAACTAAGATTGCAGGAAGTAAAAGAATTTATGTCTCATTACCGTGAAAAATAAGCTTTTAACAGACAAAAATATTTTGGAATTATGTAAAATATAAGAAATAAGAAAAGAAAAAAGGGGAAATTAAGGATCACTAGTAGGAGAGCATTAGATTGATTCCATATGGGGATATTGTGCCGAAAAGCTGAATTAATTTGTTTCCCCTTCTAATTCTCACTGGTACGTTAGTGCAGGAAACAGTCCCATGATAGATACACCTGATGTCCTTTTGTGATTATCGCTGTTGAAATGGGATGAGACTGGGGAAAGTTTGCCCTGTTTGATATTATGAAGATGTTCAGTGAATCTATGAGAAAATCTTCTTCCCGTTTCACCTACATAACGGGAGAGGCATCTACAGAAAATCACATAGATCACAATTCAATAAGATATCGAGTGTATAGGGGTAAGTTCTAACATGGCTTCTTGAGAATGGTTTAATCCCAATGTGAGATGGGTCAGCCTGAAGGCAACTGTGAACCAGAAGGTCACCCAGATTTTTGTCCTGTCTAAAGACAATAAGTGGAGGGGATGAGAATATCCTGTTGGCGTCAGGGTGAGCAAAAAGTATGTGTCGATTCTTTATGAGTATTTTTTGGGCAATCATATCGGGAGAGTGGTAGGTTAGTATGAGTTTTGGGATCTTCATTTTTTTTAATGTGGTTTAAAAGCATCATTCCGTGTTATAGTACTGATATGATTGAGTGGCGAGACAAGAGGAGATTCATGATAGGATCTGGAGAGGAAGAAGTCCATCATTATAACAAATACTTACATTAAACATGGCTTCTCATGACAACAATTAGATGCAAGTTATAGAAGAAAATATTCTCGCTAAAGTCAATAATTAAGAAGAAGATATCATTCTTAAAAATTATATTTTTCTTTGAGTTACACAAATTGTAATATTGATTAAAGTTTTTAAACTTTTTTTTTTGGTCAAACATGCAAAGACTAATGGCAAAGACAATGCTTATAAAATATAAAAATATTTCATAATTGTGCTTCTCACTTCTAGCTTTGTTCAGTCCAATATCTTTGACTTTCTCTAAACTGTGGAAGAGGACACACCCACTGGTATATCCTGTAAACAAGCTGTTGTCCTAGGAAATTACAAGTTAAGTTTTGTGATTAATTCAGATTTTCTTTTACATTTTCTTTTGATCATAAGCCAATGAGAGCAAGACACTCAGAATTAGAGTAGTTTGGTTTTTAATCTTTAAAATTTTTGTGTATAAAAAGAGAAATAAGATAACATTATTGGTATTTGTTAACACGAGGTTATTAAATATTTTAACAATGAGGAGAAATGAGGATGCACTATTTATAATTTATTTAATTTTTGTTTCGATGACCAGCTACTGACCAGTCTAGTGTAAGCCTCCAGGTCAGGGGCCATGTAGACCTCATTCTGTAATTCTAAATCAGGTAGGTTCCAGATGTGAACCAGCATCATGCCCTTGACCTTGTAGAGAGTGTGCAAACTGTTGTGGTTTACATCATGACTGATGTCTAACACCTGGAAGGGTCATAAAGACATTAGAGCGAAATCTTGTTCTTTATATTAGGAATGTAAGCTACTTGGTAAATCAAAATGTTCATACATTTATTAAAAGAAACAAATTATTTAACATTGTTAAGAGCATGGTACAATGTTTTTGTTAAGTTCCAGTTAAATCTTTGGACTTTAATCACACTGTTCCTCCTCTAAATAGCCACAAATACATTTTTATCCACTCTAGAAATGAACTTGAATAAATTAAATAGTGAAAAGTTAAGAGTTAACTTATATAAATATAGACTGCTCTGTTATTATTGCTTGATGTAAAATTATTTCTAATAAACCAAAGAAACTAAATTAGGTCCATAGCAATCTTACTGCATCTTTCCCAGTTTTAAACTCTAGGTATTTCTGTGCTTTGACGACTGGATCCATAAACAATATTCTTCCATCCTGGTATAAAAAAAATAATGTGCCATTAAATGGACATAAGTTCCTGCATGCGTGCATTTGTTTTTTTTTGTACCTGGCTTGTTCCTTGTTATTTAAAACATACTTTATTGAACAGGGTTTGACATTTGGAGGTCTAGTTTCATTGATATCAAAATAATTACTCTCTTAAAAACCTTAATATACAAAAACCACCTCAAAGAACCAACTTGTGCTTTGTAAAAATAAAAAATGGACATGTAGAAGGATCAACAAGAATTATACAAATGAGTAAGTCTTAACACCTATAAAAAAAAACTGTTCAAAAACATAAATACCTCAAGACCCAAAAGAAGAAATACATCCTGCTCGGTACAGCTCTTTCCTTGAGCTGACCAAAAAATGGCGTCAGAGTTGAGAACAGCCAGACAACAACAGTTGGCTATAGGCTGATTTGCACTGCCACCTTCCGTAGCTCTGTGGGATGGGGGTGGCTTGTTAAATGTGGTTCTGCAGCAAAAATATAACACCATATCAGTCATTAATGGCCATACATAACAAAATATCTTAAATAAGTCACAAATGTGTTTCTATTTTAAAGGTGAGACAGAGTCAGGTAATAAGGTAATAAGGGAGGGTTTACCCTCAAGCCCTTATAAAATGTTGTAATTTAAATGTTACAAGTTTTCAAAATACTAACCTTATAGGACTACTGACATCTAATACTAACCTTGGAGGACTACTGACATCTAATACTAATTTTACAGGACTACTGACATCTAATACCAACCTTGGAGGACTACTGACATCTAATACTAACTTTACAGGACTACTGACATCTAATACCAACCTTGCAGGACTACTAACATCTAATACCAACCTTGCAGGACTACTGACATCTAATGATAACCTTACAGGATTACTGACATCTAATACTTACCTTGGAGGACTACTGGCATCTATTGCTAGCCTTACAGGACTACTGATATCTAATACTAACCTTGCAGGACTACTAACATCTAATACCAACCTTGCATGGCTACTGACATCTAATGATAACCTTACAGGACTACTGACATCTAATACTTACCTTGGAGGACTACTGGCATCTATTGCTAGCCTTACAGGACTACTAACATCTAATACTAACCTTGCAGGACTACTAACATCTAATACCAACCTTGGAGGACTACTGACATCCAATACTAACCTTGCAGGACTACTAACATCTTCAACTTTATCCACAGCCGTTTTTGTTGATATAAAGTTTCTCTGCAAATCAGAAACATCCCAAACTGCTATGCGACAAGCTGGGTCTGTTCTATTGAATTTAAAACAGCTGCATTTTAACATAGGTCACATTAAATAGTTGTGAAAGATGGTATTAATTTAAATAATGCCTTATTGGTTCTCAAAGTTACTTACTTTTTGTTTTTAGTGTTATTATTTTTATTTTTTTGTTGATGATAAATACATCTTTCCACATTTTGTTTTCTTCTCCATGAGTTTAACAAACAAATTTGCATGTAAAAAAATATTATCACCACAAGGTTAAACTGTGGGTTAAAAGTTCAGCTTAGGAGAATCTACCGATTTCTCCATCCTGGAGTCTGATTAGCAAGCAAAACAAGAGCCATGAATGAAATACCTTGTTGTATAGACCCAAATCTCATAAGGATCGATCAATAAGTACATTGTGTTTCGCTGCCTGCTGTAGCAGACACTCATCACTTTCTGTAATGGAGATATGCTGGGAGGTGGCAGAACTGTGCTCATATTTTTCATATTGCTCCTGGCCATCAGGCGCACACTGGAGTTAACAAGAGAGATGTCACATGCATGACCAGAGGTGCAATGAAACTATTAACAGAAAGTTACCATCACTATGCACAGCTTTTGAACCTCAGGTGTTTCGCTAAGATGAGATCATGTGCCCAAAGACTTTATAATAAAGGTATCAAATAATCAGAGGTGTGTATCCACTGCATGGTAGTATAAAAAAATCACTGGTGCCTGTAGTGAGAATATAAGTTAGCAGAAGTGGTCCACAGTTAAGGTTGAAATAATTGAAAAAATAGAGTATTTAATATTTTCACACTGCAGCTTCATATATTTTGCATGAAAGTGAAAGATGAACTGGTAGAATTTTTAGAAGAAATGAAATGTGCAGCTTTTAAACATTATTTAAAATTGTTGGTAAGGAAAATAAACAATAAAGTGATGCTATGTTGAATTTTAAAAAAAAATGTTAATCAAAGAATAGGCCGTCAGTTTTAAAACCACCTGCTATCTTCACTTATGACCATCAGTCTGGTGGTTTTATCCTTGCCACCGCAGCAAGACAAACTTGTTACGTTGCTTCTAGCATGGGCGCAGAACTGCACACAATAATTTATGTTCCACAGGGTTAGTGTTCTTGCTGTGCACAAGTACAGGATGTTGTCGTCAGTCTGCCCCATCCACAGAACACCATCCACTGATACAACAATGCTGTCAACAAGGATTGAAAAAGAAAAAGAATAAGTCTGAAAGGTCTCAACATCAACGACTCATGTTTTACTACAGCAACGAAAGTTGATGGGCCCTTAAAATTTTAATATCCAAGTTGATAATAAACAAACTCAAAGGCAAACAAACAAAGTTAAATCCAAAAGAAATTTTATGTAAACAATTAGTTTGTGGATACATCCTTGTCAAAAATAAAATTAATGGAGTTAAAAGTTCATTTGGCTGTGCAAAGAAATTATAAGTACCATAACAAAGCAATTATAAAATAGTTATTTTATTTTAACTTAAAATAGTATGTATCTGTTTCACAGCACATTTAAAGCATTTAAACATATTCATACATTTTAGGTCAATAGACATGATTACAAACAAAACTAGTTTTCTTAATTATGTAATTATGTTATCATAATTTTGTTACATTATGTCGTTCAAAACTTAATGAGCAATCAAGTAAATAAATTTATGCAACTTTTTTAATGGCTTGTTTATTTTTACAAGTTTTTATGTGAAGCAAAGTGAACCCATTCCTAGGCTGAGGTGCCGCATTTTATAAGACCACTGCAATTATTATTATTATTACTATTAAGTACATGGTACAATTGTGAAATAATTTCAATCGCACAATATCAAAAGTTTTGTGACCTGTAATGACATTCCATGGTGTCTAGTGACCACATTCGGATGCTGCCATCTAGAGAACAGGTGATGACTATGCTAGAAGTGGCAGGGTGTAGCATCAGACTGGTCACTGCCCTGGAGTGACCTCGAAATGTATGCACAAGTCCTCCTAGGACACTCCATACTTTCACTAAAGCAATCATTTCATAAACATGTAGTGCAGTGAGAATTTACAGACATTTTTTTAATATGTTGAAAATCATTAAATTCTCAAATAAATATGTAAGGGTTTTATAAGGGGTTTTCACCAAACCAGAAATATTTATCTTTACGACTATATACATACAAAATTGAGATATTAAAAATATTATGTTATTTGGATGGTGAAAGTAATTAGTAACTAAAGTTTATTCTTTGTTGTGCCCCTAAATTGTATTTAGGTTAGGATGTGACCAAAAGGACATTTTTTGATGGCATCCTCCTATTATGATTTTTACTCCACTAAAATTATATCAATAGTAACTAGATAACTTTTTTTAAAGTTATTTATTATGAGTAATAAACAATAGCTATCTCGTATAAATACTCAAAATGTATAAGACAACAAAACATAAATTTATAACATTATTTTTCTTTTATGCCCTCTCCGTAATATTAGTATTACCTTCACAGTCCACTGAACATGTCACTAGAAAATTAGCATATTGGGAATATCTGCACCCTGTAATGGTCATTGAGTGAGCGCTGAAATAAGCAGTAAAACGAAATAAGCCAGTTGGGTAAAAATACAGCATTACTATTTCACTACTGGTTAATGTTTTCAGGTATGGACAAATTTTGGGGGTTCATCTCACCTTTTGAGCAAGCAGATCAAGCTATAATTCATTTAAAAAATAAACCAACCTTTCAAATTTTAAGATTTCCTTCCCGTCAAGGTCATACACATGCAGCCCAGTATCACTGCAGCAGTACAAGTGTTCCAGATTGTAGTCCAGGTCCACTCGCTTCACCCACCCTCCACCAACATTGGGTAGTTCTTGTCTAAGGACATTAATACATTCAGTCCTCTAACATACAAAATACATCTTGAAGGATTCATAAATCCCACAATCCTACAGCTTGTTTGCAGTCTCCCCAATATTATTCTTTACATAATGAAAATTCAGCTCAATATTTTGATGGCGTGTCAGTGAATTATAAGAAATAAATGGGTTTTCACAACTTTTTCTCTATAAACCTTTAAAGAAAACATTTCTCACTTGAGTGTAAGACCGTAGTTTCCAAGAGGCCTCAGTGAGCCAAATGCTTTACCAGCCTGCTGATGAAACTGCCAAACCTGGTAACAACAAATCAGTAATTTTACCCAAACAACTAAATGCTGACTATAAATAAATTACCCAATGGATGGTCTTAAGTAGATATTTATAGCATATTTTTTTAGTGATAATTTATGAAGCTGACAAACCTTTGTACCTCCAACACCGCCGGTGATAAGTTCATCTCTGACAGGGTTGAACAGCATAAAGAGCACTGATCTCAGGTCAGCACTAACAGAGCATGTCTCCATAAAATCTCTGTTAAAAACCTGATTGACATTTTACAATAACTATTTTATAATTGTGCTAAATAAAATACATTGATGGTAGGGTTGACTTTAGGGAAAACATCTACTTGAGGCATGTTCCTTTTTATGACAGTTGCATTGAAACTTAACATCTTTAAACAATTTTAATAATAAATATAAAAAAGCATTTATTGAATTAGTGTTCACCCCACATAGTTGCTGTCAGTTTTGTCAGTGTAGTGTTGCTTTTATGGAGCCAGTAAAGCAGTATCCTAAGTTTATTATTTAGCAATAATGCAGCTAGTTACGACATTCACCATATCTGCCATAAGCAGAAAATATTTTAGAAAAAAAAATAAATAAATAACTGTTATAAAATTATCACCTTTAATGAGAAATCTTTGCCAAGCCCAAAATAGCAGTTATGTTTCTTGGCATACACAAGATGGGTTATTAATTTATACTCATATTTTGGATACTCAAGAACTCTGTTAACTGTGCAAAAGAATTAAAATAATATTTAATATATTTGAAAAAAACAAATGGCGAAATATGCTTAAAATGACATTTTCCTGTTTTCACATAAGTAGTGTCAAAGGCTTCTGATGTGTCATTTAAAAGTGCAATTAATTTCTTCAATTTGTCCTTAATTTTGTGATAAATTTAGCCAATATTTTTACTTGAAATAAATTAAATTCAAAAGGCAAAATATGCTACCTCTATGATCAACTGCATCTCTCTTCCAGGTTGTAATGCCTTTTGCATCAAGGATGATAAACTGGCGCATCCTATTATTGTAAGTAACTGTGAATAAATAAATATTTGATGCATTACAGTTCACTCTGTTGAGATATATTATTTTACCAAAGCAGACCAGACATTTATACAACAAATGAATTTCCTTTTAGCATTGCGTTACTGACTATTATTTTAAAATGTATATATTAAGGAAAGCATATTAACAAGTCACCATGATATTCATAATCTAATACAAAACTTTACAACATTATAAAATTTATTCTAAAATATGCTCTAATTTTTTAATGAGTTTAAATGTATAGAAAAGTAGTAGCAAAAATGTATAAAGAATATTAATCATTGGAATGGATAGGGTTGTTAAAGCACAGTTATTCTATCTTAGATTTTCAAATATGAAACTGTAATTTGGATATCACATCCTTAAGAAAATATGACAAATTGTCAGCAATTACTGTTGTTTGTTTTTTTTTAAAATAGGTCACTTTTTAAAAAATTGAACAAAAATCAATTTGTTAAAACTTACAATTGAAAACTTAGGACTTATGCAGATGTAAACTAAGATACTTAATTAACAACATAATCAACAGGCAAACACAAATAACATAAGTTGATCAATGAAAGGAAGAAAAACAAAGTTGATTAAAATGTATTATAAACCTTATACCTTTCCATTGGTTTTGAGTCTGAAAATATATGAGATACAATTTACTAAAACTGACTGATCCTGTCTAAATTAGGTAGAACAAGAAGGAAAATTTTATGCAAGATCAATTCTGTATTGAGAACTTGTAGGTTTTATTTAGTTATTCGTATAATTTAAATATACTTACCACCCATAATGTCTGAGCACATGTTGCCATGCTCATAGCTTGCTTTAGGAATGATTCCATAAGGTATTGATGAGAACTGACTAGAAGTCCTAACATGAGTAGTGCTATCTGAATTTGTCAAGGAGCTTTGCGATCTAGATCCTGACTTTCTTCTTGTAATAAAATCCTTTATCTCACTGAAAATATTATCTTCTTTTTGTGACAATGTTATCAAATTATTTTCAGAGCCAATAGCATCTATTATGTCATCATCCAAAGGTGGTCCTTTATCATTGAAACATTCATCAATAGACGAGTCAATGCCTGACAGACAATCCTTGTCATCAAAGTTGAGGTCAATGGAACCAAATTCATTGTCTGAATCATAATTTATATTTTCTTCTTTCAATTCAGAAACTTTGTTATGGGATGCACCACCGAGCACTTCAAGTGATAAGTCACTAGATTTCAAAGACCCATCCATGATCAAGGGGATTTCCTGGATGTTTTGTCATTAATTCATAATGATAATGAATTTTTATTTTTCATATTAAATCTGGAGGAGAAAATATAAATAATAATTTATGACTATTTATGTAAGCAATTAAAATGTGTATGGTGAAACCATGTCTAAACTGAGTGTTTTAAAAAAAGATAAAATGAGTGGTTGCCAATTAAATTTGCAAAGAAGCGTTTCAAAATAATAATGTGTAAGTGTAGTCAGTTATTAGGTATAAGTATAACTTTGTTTACTTAGTAATTAGTAGCCCTTATTGCTACTTAAGAAAATTTTGTTGTATTTATTCTTTTGTTGATGCATTTGCAAAACTTTCTATTTCTAGATGAAAGACAATGTCAATGATAAGTAAATAAATTTTGCTAATAAAATATGAATCCCCACCAAGTTAGTATCATAATAAGTATGCCGTAAGATCTCATATGATTATGCATTGCTACTGAATAGACTAAGAGGAATGCCACTAGCCTAGAACTAGAATTAATTTATCATATTTAACTAAAAGGGACTAAGATATTAATTTTAACACTTTAGCCCACTTTACTTTATTAGTCTGCTTAGGCTAAGACGGCTTTTACTTTTATTCCATCACGGCATCACGGCTCACGGTGACTTAGATTTAGGATAATTAATAGTTAAGACAGTTAAGAAGAAATGTTAAATGAAACCGTGCATAACAATAAGTTAGGTAATGTTTACACTACCACTTGTGACTAGCTTTTTTTTTTTACAAACAAACATTGCTATAGGGCTCGTAATTTAAAGTTATATGTACCTAATTATTATTAGCCAGTTTTTTGTAATAGTACTTTGACCGCCATGATGTTTACATATAGCAACAGATAATCTGCCATCTAGCGATGAATATTTTGTGGCAGACAATCCATATATACTACTCGTATATGTAACCCCATTAAGCTCCATACACAAAATCATTTGTTTAATTTAAATAAGGTATGATTTTATCTCTACACAATTAAACATTTTAGGAGATTTTGACTCAATTAATTTAAATTTTCTTGCTGGTGTTGCTTTTAAAGAATAATCCAAGTTTGCTGAGTTTCAACATTATTAAAATAGCCATTAATTATTTATTTTTAGAATCATATATCTGCTATTTTCCTATATTCTGCAAGTGTAGCTGATAGTGATTCGAGAACAATAGTTGGGATAACCTTTAACTTGAAACGTGGGCCAAACTATCTGTTATGCTGCACTTCTCAATAGTTTTAACAAACCGCTTGAATACATTCATTGAAATCCGCAACTGATTGCATGAGATGGTGTACGCAAATGTAGGGAGGAAAGATTATACAAAAGTTGATATGCAGTATTCGGGTATTTTCATGTTGGCTCACATGCCGTCTGGAACGTTAAATATTGTGCCCCCCCCCCAACCAAAAAAAAAATAAAAAAATAAATAATTTTTTTTAAAATTAAAATTTCATAAATGACAGATGCATCACAAATAAAACTTTCCTTTCTTCTTTCAATTTACGCTTTTTTTTCCATTTATATTAAACACATTTGAATTTATGAAGCATACATGTAATTATTTTTAATTAGTTACATCTCAATTCAATATATTCAAATTATTTATAATTGTGTCTGTAGATGTGTTATCATCTGACAATTTTGGGCATCAAGACCAAGTATAAATAAAAATATATGTAGGCCTACATCTTTATTTGTTGTTTATTTTATGTAATATGTATAATGTCCCTTAACCCGCGAAAAATTGTCTCGTAGTCAAAATGGCCCGTGAAGTTATTTTTGGATCACAACCCCCGATGTAGGCCTTCCGTCCAGACTTGTCTTGAACAGAAAAACAAAATAATTTAAGAGTGAAAAGGGACATAGCTCAGCGGTATCTGCCAAGGGACATGACCCAAGGAAAAGAAACATAAATTGGAACAAACAGGGAGAGGGGTACATCATTTTACGGCACGATCAATGGGAACCATCTGTTCACATACTGTACCAAACTCCTCTTGCGTTTCTAGTGCCGTGTTACACTGTTAAAAGGCTTGATTTTTATAGGGGCCTCCATCCTGGTTTTTTTCTTCTATTTTGGTTTTTTGTTATTGTTTTTTAAATTTCAAATTAACAGAAGTATTAATTTGTGTTGATATAAATTGATTTATAACTGGAATGAGTTGTGAGAACAACAATGGTGATGACTCACATCAATATCAGTGAATTTTTTTTAAATTAAAAAAAAAAAACTTTTTGTTGTTCTTCATCACTTCAAAAGATCTGGTCTATATCCCAGTTTTCTACATAAAGTAGGTCCACGGTTTAATTATTCTTGGCAATATAGTTACACGCTGTGCTCCTCTGACGACACGTCGAATATGATTCAACCCCATTACGTTTTATTGACCTATATAGTACTGTGTTAACTGCCTATGTCCGTGACGGCTGCAGCACACACAAGTCGAAGTATGTAAAAACTGTGGGTTAATGTAATGCATAAAATAGGATAATAACATAACTGGCAATATTTTGGTTATTGGTGATTATAAACGGAAATTCCCAACATTGCAGAGGTATTTAAATGCATGTTGCTAGCAATATCATTAGATCTTTGACATCGAAAGGAACGTATCATTCAACTCTTCTAGTAAGTTATAATGGTATATCAGTAGAGCAAGAATAAGACGAGCTTATCTCACTCTCTTATATAAAATTTTCTCTCTTTATAGCTCTCTCTCTCTCTCTCTCTCTCTCTCTCTCTCTTTCTCTTTCTCCCTTTCGCTCTCTAAGTTTATTATGTATGAGAGATAGTATCGTAACTACATGTACATGAAAACCGTTCAGTATTACATCGTGGTGTACTGTCCTCAAGGTTGTTTTTAAAAAAAATATGACTTGAATAAATTATATTGGTAAATCTATAGGCCAGACAGACTAGATCCTTCTCACGAACTAGCATATTTTGTATTCAATGAACATGTATAATTTATTATTAGTTTCGTTGAAAATATTTTATTCTTTTTAAATGCTACTGAGATGAATACCCCCAACTGTATGTTTCATGTGTGTCCAATACAATTAATTAAACTAAAAGTGAACTGTTGAACTGACGCCCTTTCGTTTATCCGCCAGAAACACATTTTATAATTGGACATAACTATGAAAATCAAATATTTAAGAAAAAAACAACACTTTTTAACTTTGGAGGGACATCGATAAATTGTATTATTTCGTTTACAAAGGAGCATGTTGCTTTACATTACTGGCTGTTGGGTCTTCCTGTGCTCATATCTAACTTCTCTTGCACTCAACTATTCAAGTTTTAGTTCACAATTTTTTAATGTAGGCTGCAGGGAACAAAAGAAAAATGTTAATTAAAATAAAACATGTTTTGGTTACACGTTAGTTAGTTTGTTTGTTTGTTTTTGTTGTTGTTTTGTTTTTTTTGTTGTTTGTTGTTGTTGTTTTTTTTTTGGGGGGGAGGGGGTTTCTGTTTGTTGTTGTTAAAAAGCTTTTGAAAAGAATGTTACGTCCCCAACAAAATGTGACTTAATATGGATGTCACTGATTACACGATACACATAATAATGGATTTAAAAAAAAAAACGAATTCAAGAAAATGGTTTCGGTAGAAGGCAATACTGGCAATACAAATAAAATTGTATCAGATTTGATCCGGACAAAGACAGACACACATGTATATAAAAACCAAACCAGGTATAGAAACCATCAACGGTGTTTTAAGATTCAACGGTACTCTCTATATACACTGCACAGATAAACATGTTTCACGACATGTTTTGTCCGCAAAATTTTCCACAAAAACGATAATTGGGAAAACAATATGTACAGCCCCAGGGGGCATAAGTTGGTGGTTTTTTTTTTAAAGTCTCCTTTTGAAAAGCAATAAAAAGTTGTCGCGTACATGTTTGTGTATTTATAAAACAGGAAACGTTGCACGTCCTGCGGGAATTCATAAGTGGTCATCTGTTCAGTACGTCCTATACATTTTACCGGTAAATCGCTCTCTTGTGGGGTGTTTTAGTGGGAGAGCGAGAGTGAGTGAGTGAGTTAGCGAGTATGTATGTGCGACTCTGTGTGTGTGTGCGCGTGTGCGCGCGCGCGTGTGTGCTTGTCAGAATGATCTATCTTAGTGTTGGCTGTGCAATAGGGACTTGACGGCTGTCCGCATTGTAGGAGTAGAGTAGAGAAATAATTGGCCTTCTGATCTAATTATGTAACACCATAAAAATATAGGGCAAGTTTAGTTATCAAATGTACAGTGCTTAAATTACCGATACAGATATTTGTGGCGATTAAAAAAAAAAACAACGTTGCTGTAGATTGTATCAACTGTTGTCTTACGTCATATGAGCTTACCTTCTTATCCGACTGATAAAACAAGGTCTTTGAACTCGCTGACCCGTCTCTCCACCCTTTAATGTACCATTTTCCAGGTCCAGCGTTCTTTTATATCTATGATATAACTAACTTAAATAAATAACATTGGAACCATTTCCTTCGAGATCAAGCCCGAATCTTCACCATACCTCTAAACAAAGTCACGAAACATCCGTGATAAATTTGACATGGTATAATTCTCTCCAGATTACCCCTTTGTATCATCAAAGATAGCCAAATGTGTAGGTATACAGCATACCCAAATGTATCAGTAGCATTATCATCATGCTTCAACAATTTAATCACGCTGCAATGCTAAAATAACCGTGTAATAATAAATATAGGGGTACGTCTGAAACTGATGGCGTCATCACGAGAGACAACATTTGGAACAGTGTCGCTTTTTCAAAATAGGTGATTGCGCCCCCTTTAGAATGGTTCTTGAAAGGCTGTTAGTATACTGATGCATTAATTTTTAACAGCTTAAAGACTAATGCTGCTTTATAATGATTTTGAAATAAACATTACAACAGTTTGAGCACAGGTTCCTAAATTTTCTTTTTTTTAGGGGTGGTGGGCGGGGGTGGCTTGCGACCCACAATTTGGGATCTGAGGTTTAGCACAATA